TGGTTTTTCTGGGCAGGGTGGTTTAGCAGAAAAACATGAAGTAATCTCTTCAGATGGGACTGGTTCTGCTGGCAGGAGTGATTCAACAGAATTTACAGGTTCAGTGTCCCCCGCTTCCTGATTATCTGCCCCTATGTCCCCATCCCAAGTCTCAGGATCCCATCTCTTCCCAATCAATGCCCTTACTTTAACCTCAGACACCTCTCGAGGTTTGCAATTGAGCTGGCGTTGTAATTCAGCCACTCTTACAATAAGACTATGGGGTAGAGTTTCAGCAATTTAAGCTCTGTTACTACAAGAAATAAGGCTTTCTTTCAAAGCACAAGTGGAAGCCTTGAGGTCATGTACGCGGCACTTGAGCCTTAACTCTGAAGCCCTGAGCCCATCTCTTTCCTTCATCAGTTTGTCTAGTGAAAGGAGGACAAACCAACCAGCTTCCTTATACTTCTCATTCTGACAAAGCTGTAAAAAGATATCACACGTGTGTTCACCCTGAGCCTCACCTTTCACCAATACCTGATCTACCAGGGGTGATATTTTGCGTATTTGTATCGCCACCTCGCTCCATGGACTAGCAGTGACCTCTTTACTGCTGGAAGCAGAGTCATCAACGTCTTTATGACTAACCAGACTTGAGGACCAATTTAGAAAATTCATCCTTACAATTTTGTTCCTCTAGAACCACTCCCGATACCAAATTCTTAGGCTGGGTTCTCCAGAGAAGCAAAACCAGTAAAGTGTATAAATATACATAGAGACAGAGATTACATCAAGGAAACAGCTCACGTGATTATAGAGGCTAGAACATCCCAAGTCCGTGGATCAGGGTAGAGGCCTCTCCCAAGTCACACAGCTGCAGAAGCTGGCAAGCCCAAGATCAGAAGGTCAGAGAGCAGGGCTCCCACTCACAGGCTGTGCAGATCGATGAATCCTGGGTTCGGCAGATAAGCTGACAGCTCGAGTCCCAAGAACGGGAGATGAGATGACAGGAAGCAGCCCCAGGATCCAGAGAGAGCAAAATGCCAGAACATCTGCTTATATACAGATGCGGGCCACACCCCCAAGGAGACTGCCTTTCATCTGATTGGCAACTCACAGTATGTTCAATCATGGGAGTGATTACATTAAAACATGGAGAATCATGGCCCAGCCAAGTTGACACACAATCTTAACCATCACAACGGCTTCAAATAACAGAACAAAAGTTAAGCTTCTACGGAATATTTATATATGTTTACCTCATTTCTAGGAGTTTATCCTCCAAAAAGTTACAGTTCCATAGAACTTTTTAGTAGTGTTAGTGAAAACTGGAAACAACCAAAAACAGGGTAATGGTTAATAATATCAATATAATTGAAAAGCTAAGTAATATCAACATAATAAAATATTGTACTGCCATTAAAATGATAAGTAGATGACTATAGAAACATGGAAAGGTGTTATCTTACTAAGGGAAAAGAGGACAATACAAATTCGTACTTGGCTGGTTCAACCATATAATAATTACTAGGTACATATGGATAAAGCTTAGAAAAGAGCACAAAGAAATAAAACCAAAAGCAAACCCATGCTGTCAAGTCAATTCTGACTCACAGCAACCCTACAGGACAGAGTAGAACTGCTCCATGGGATTTCCAAGGCTATAAATCTTTATGGAAGCAGATGGCCAGATCTTTCTCCCGTGGAGCCACTGGTGGTTTTGAACCACCAACCTTTCAGTTAGCAGCTGAGTGCTTTAACCACTGCACCACCAGGGCTTCTCAAGCTGCTATCTTAGGGTGGTGAAATTAGGAGTAAAATTTAGAATTTAATCTAATTTAAAATATGCTTTAATATTTTAAACTTTGCTGTCAGCTAATACACCTTGAATGTAAGGACTTTAAGAATGTTGGTTTCAAATGACATAGTTTACGGGGGAGAATTTAGTCAATTCTGAAACATAAATGTTAGTTACCGTGACCATTTAGATGTGCCAGGATGAAAAAGCCTTTAATGCACTAATCACAGATGGAAATGACACTCTATACTAGCATAAAAAAGAATCTGCAAAAAAAAAAAAATTTGTGGTTCCATCGTAACTTACCGCGAGGGTCAGCTATGCGTCCAGGACAGCATTCCTTCACCCACACCCTTTTTCCTGGTCCAGAATGGGAGGCCAGCGTAGCTCTCTGTCTCCCCTGACGCTTCCAGACTTCTGTCTTTCTCCCCCAGATCTTCTTTCCTGACATCACTGTCATCTCTTTTGCCACTCTCAGCCGACCTGTTCAGGATTTCTACTACCATCTCTTCAGTATCTGGTTCGATCTACTCTCCTGTCTTCACTGATGAAACCTTCAACATTCAAGCTGACTCTTCAGACATAAAACAAAGAACAGAAAAAGGAATACATATGAGTCACCTGCATGTATTTTATGAGAGGAATATGAATTTGTAGACAGGCCCTGACAACTGAAAGTTGCCCAGATTGAGGGAGATTCTGTCTATATCTGCTTTAGCAATAAAGGGCTGAATGACTGTTAATGAACTGTAATAATACATGTGTTCAAGTCTAGTGTTTGGAAAACTATAGGCAAAAATGTCAGTTTGTATCACTAAACTCTCTCGAGTCACACCTATCCAAATAAAGCACACAATGCTGATTTATAATCAAAAAGCAGCAAAAGCAGCAGTCGAGAGCTGTGACCGACGCACAGCACTGCTGATGTGCAGTGTTTCAGACAGCGTCCAGTCTGACAATTGCAGGAATTCTAACTATCTGCCTCTGCTCATTAACTGGGAGAACTCAGCCCCCTGCCAACTACCGTATGGCTGCCAGTCTCGCTCACGGAACCCTGAGTTAACAGCCCTCGGTAAACCAAGGCCGGCTTATCCATTAGGCAAGGGAGGCACAGCGCCTGGGGTCCATGATACTTTTAGGGGCCCACAAAAATGCTTTAATTTCCTTAAAAAATAATAAGAAAAATAAATATAATAATAGTGAACTTACAATATTAAATCAGCCTGGATTATATTCATCTTCGTGCCAATCTCGTTATAAAATATAACTTTTAATTTATTATTGTTAATTTTTTTTGTGGAGAAAAGGCCCACAAAGGCACAAGTGCCTGGCGCCCACAAAAATCATAACGTGGCCCTGTGACAGACTCTAATACTGTACCGCCAGCTCATGAATGCCCAATTTCAATGACCCTTAATAGCTCACAAATATAGCATAGTTCTATATAAAAATGAAACTCTGCGGAGCTGCTTGTCACATGATCCCAGGAACTAAAGAAAGGGTTTATGTATTTCAGCAACTGGACTGGCGCATTCTCAACCTACCCGTGAACAAAGGACCCTACTTTGAAGACACAGCTCTCCCCGACTCCTAGTCAGAGTGCAGTCTGTGGGCCAGCAGCGTGAAGCATTTGTTAGAAATGCAGACTCTCAGTCCCTGCCCAGACCTTTCTAATCAGAATGCACGTTTTTATAAAATCCCCAGCTGATATATACACATGTGGAAGTTGCGAGGCACTGCCAGTTTTAGAAGAATCTATGCCTAGAAAATACTCTGCATTTCCTGTGCAGGGAAGACCGCACAGAAGCGGTATGATTGCATAAAAACCCCCAAATTCCTGACCAAACAACTCCAGCCCCGTGAGATCCCACAAGCAGCAGAGGGATCTTCCAACAAATGTGAAGAAGATGGCCAAGAAAAGACAGTAAGGCTCAAATCAAGGTGTGAAGAAGAGCCGCTTCCCTCCTTAAAATGCACAGATGTAAACAGGGCTACTGCTTCCTGAGGGCTGGCCCTCTCAGCAGACAGCCAGGGGCTGCACTGGAGGGAATGCCTGGGGGAGCCTTGTGTGCCGCTGGAGTTCATTACTGTACTTCCCAGGTTGTGACTTGTCTTAGAGCCAGACCTTTAGCCTAGAGCCCTGTAGTGCACTGGGCATTCCTAAACACTAGGCTGCTAACCAAAAGGCTGGCGGTTTAACCCTACCCAGACGCTCTGCAGGAGGAAGACCTGTCGATCTATTCCTGCAAAGATTACAGCCTAGAAAACCTTATGGGGCAGTTCCACTCTGTCCCATGGGGTCGCTGTGAGGTGAAATAAACTCGTCAGCACTAACAACAACACACTGCAGCCGCAGGCCGGCGAGAAGCTGGGTCCCGCAGTCCAGGGGAGCCCTAACGCCCATGGGTCGGGTAACATCGCTCCTTCCTCCTGACACTCGGGCTTCTTATTCACTACCGTTCAGCTACAGGAACCAACAATATTTACATTTGAGTATTTACAAAGTACTCTAGCTAGGCTGTCCTGGGGTGTTCAGAATTTTGCATCATTTCTTAGTAACTAAGATGACTGCTTCCCCTTCACGTTTATAGGTTGTTTCCACCCCAGTTTGTCTGACGTCAGTTTTTCACAGAATCTGGCGGGAAGGATGAGAATTTAGAGTAAATGGAGAGACTGAACTCTCTGTTGTAATGTGTTTTAGCATGCCAGGACACCTCTTGGCTTCCCTCTAAGGACAGGGGACTTAGAAAGCCAAATCCAGGGTCCTAACAGATGACAGGCATTTTTAAATATTAGGAGAATTGGCTCTGGTTCACTTCAGTGAGAAGATTAGCTAATCTACTTGAAGTAAATGAGATCTGAAAATGTACAGGGCAAAAATCATTTAAATAGCAGGGTATTTGGGGATTAAGAAGCCCTGGTGGTGCAGTAGTTAAGTGCTCAGCTGCTAACCAAAAGGTTGACGACTGGAACCTACCAGAGCTGCTCCACGAGAGAAAGACGTAGTAGTCTGCTCCTGTAAAGATTTACAGCCTTGGAAACCCTATGGGGCAGTTCTACTCTGCCCTATAGGGTCGCTGTGAGTTGGAATCGACTTGCCAGCAACGAGTTTAGGTTTTCGGGGACTAGATCAGCTGAGGTTTCCCAAGCAATATGCTAGTGTTACTCCATTTTTTTTTTTTTTAAAGCAAACCCACTGACTTAAATATAGAAGTAGCTAAAGGTATGGTTCTCATTTCTTTGTAGTCATACCTTATAAAACTAAAATCAAACCTGGCGCCGTGGAGTCGATTCCGACTCATAGCGACCCTATAGGACAGAGCAGAACTGCCCCACAGGGTTTCCAAGGAGCAGCTGGTGGATTCGAACTGCTGACCTTTTGGTTAGCAGCCAAGCTCTTACCCACTGCGTCACCAGGCACACCTTATAACCTTTTTCAATAGATACTGACGTGTGAAGAATAGTTGGAAAGGCACAGTGACGCTGAGAAGTGCTGACGGGCAGAATACCGAGACAGAGGGGAAAACATATCCAAACTGTCACCCATGCTGCCACGCAAACGGATTACAAAAACTCTAGGTAGGGATGACAACTATTTTTTGGCAGGTTCCAATTTTAACAGTTCAAAGCAAACTGTATTATATATTTTTAGCAATTTCAGCTTCTACCTTTATTTTTAAAAACAGCTTTTTTTTCCTGAATATAAAAATATTAAACCAAAAAATCAGAAACACACAGAAGACTTTTTAAAAAGAAAATAAATACTACCTATAAAACCCAGAGTTAACCTCTGCTGGTGTAATCCAGCATTTATAAAAATCCCTGACACACGGATGTTGAGTTTTCTCTCCGTCCCTATCCTGGCTCACCCTCTTGTGGCTGTGACAGGAAGAAGCCAAGAGCCAGGCAGCCAAAAGGAAGAGGAAGACGAATGAAAGAAAGGCCTGTGAAGATCATTTCCCACCATTTCCCACGTGAAGATAAGTCTGTATGGGCCAGGGTCCTGGCAGGAAGCAGGTGGAGTGCTCAGAAGGACTGATTCAGAGAGAAAGCCTCCTGGTACCTCCCACTGGCTGAACACTGGAAGTCAGAAGGTAAGGGGATTTTGTAGTCCTTAGAGATCCTGCCTTCCAGAACACAAAGCAGGGTAAAACCAAAAACCAAACCCATAGCCGTCCAGTCGATTCCAACCCATAGCAACCCTACAGTCAGAGTAGAACTGCCCCCTAGGGTTTCCAAGGTGAATTCGAACTGCCAGCCTTTTGGTTAGCAGCGTAGCTGTAGCTCTTAACCACTCCACCACCAGGACTCCAAAATGCAAGCACCCTAGATGGGACGGGGTAGGGAAGGGATCTGGCTTGGCAAAAAGACCAAGCCCAACAAAAACAATCTTTCTCAAATATTTCATTATAATTATAGGTTCTCATATAAGGCGGGAGTCCACAGCACTACATTACAGAATAACTCTTGAATTATCTGGAGTCAAGGATCTACGCTCTTCCTGTGGTCCGACTGAGAAGAGCAGAAACAGGAGAACTTCACGCCACCTGAAAACAGTATAGAGGCTTCTCACAGCCATCTAATGCCTCTGGAGGGGTAAGCCTAGCATTCGAGGGGTCCAATCATTGGATACTTGGGTACTAGGGTGACAATGACATACAGGAAGGAAGAGAAACACAGAGATGGAGATGCAGAGAGCTCAGCTGCTGTTTGCTGCTGGTCCTCTCCCACCCTTTACCCAAACAAAAAGTAAACTTCACAGCTCCTATATGGGTAAGAACCAACACTGATTACCTACGAGTCAAACTGAACATGTGTCTAAGATATCAGCAAAGCAGTCACCAAGGATACATGACAGAAAATCAGAAAACTTGGAATGATGCTAGTTTTTATTTCAGTGTATTTGTAGATTTTGCATCATTTTAGAAAAGTGATATTTTATTTCGTGGTTTAGCACAGTTTTGGCAGTTGTTGGTGGTGGAGAGGGTGGCAGCACATCGAAATCTTTTTATTGGGGCTTCAAAAATGCTTAACCTGCTCTGCTTAGGACTGAAATGAGCGCCTGTCTCAGGGATCAGCCCAACAGTTCCAGAGGAATGAACGTAATAGGCAGAGCCTTGTAGTTTAAAATGAGCATTTTGAGGGCTTTTATTCTTCATGGCAGAACACATGGCTTCATTCCTCTTCAGCTGCTCTCTGCTAATCCCACAATACATCTCAGATCCGACTGACCGCGTGGCGGGGGCGGGGGGGCTAAGACAGGGAGACCTCCTCCAGTGGGGTCAGTCACTAAGTATGGGTGAAGGTAGGGGAGGAGAGGTCAGATACACTCTCAACAAGGACTTAAAAACCAGCGGGATCTAAAATGCTTCCAATGACTCACTTCTCATTCTGGGCAATGCCCATGAAGACAGTCCCCATTTTCCCAGCTCCTGTTTATTTGTAATAGTTTTGTAACTCATTGTTTAGACAGTGAGGGATGACAACTGGAGACCAGACATCAGAATACAAAGAACAGACTAGAGAAAAGTATTTACAGCTCATATCACAAAAATATAATTCCCCTGATACTCGTGAAGAGTGTGCCTCTTAGCTCAAGTACATACATGAGACCTAATGGGCAGCTCCTGTCCAGAGAGGAGATGAGAAGGCAGAAAGGGACAGGAGCTGGTTGAATGGACACGGGAAACCCAGGGTGGAAAGGAGGAGTGTGCTGTCACAGTACAGGGAGAGCAACTGGGGTCACATAACAATATGTGCATAAAGTTTTGTATAAGAGACTAACTTGGATTATAAACTTTCACTTAAAGCACAACAATAAAAAAAGAAAAAAGATATAATTTCCCTCATGTTTAAGAGCGCCTCCAAATCAGTAAGAAAAGACAATTCAATTGAAAATGGGCAAAGAACACAAATCAGGGAAGTCACAGAAAAGGAACTACAAATAGCTCTTTAACATTTATGCAATGCTCCACCTCACTTATAATAAGAAAAACACAAACTAAAACTGGGAAGTCATTTTTAACCCATCCATTTGGCAAAAATAAAGTAGGATAACACACTTCTTGGTGAGAGTACAAGGGAATAAGGCACTCCAACGCACTGTTGGAGCGCTGTTACTAATTGGCAGTCTGAATCTACCAAGTCTAGCCTAGGGAATAAGGCACTCCAACGCACTGTTGGAGTGCTGTTACTAATTGGCAGTCTGAATCTACCAAGTCTAGTCCAGGAGAAAGGCCTGGCAATTTACTCCCACAAGATTACAGACATTAAAGACCCTATGGACACAGTTCTACTCTGAAACACACAGGGTCTCTGTGAGCTGGAACTGACTGGACAGCAATGGGTTTTATACATTCCTAGTAAGAGTGAAAGTTGGCACAACTTTTGCAGAAGGCATTTTGACAAAATCTACCAAAATTACCATGGCTTGGGTCAGGCACACCTTAGTCATCAAAGTGACATCTTTGCTTTGTAAGATGTAAGAGGTCTTTTGCAGCAGATTTGCCCAATGCAATACATCGTTTGATTTCTTGATTGCTGCTTCCATGGGCATTGACAGTTGATCCATGTAAAATTAAATTCTTAACAACTTCAAAATTTTCTCTGTTTATCATGATATTGCTTATTGGTTCAGTTGTGAGGATTTTTGTTTTCTTTATGTTGAGGTGTAATCCATACTGAAGTCTGTAGTCTTTGATCTTCATCAATAAGTGCTTCAAGTCCTCTTCACTTTCAGCAAGCAAGGTTGTGTCATCCGCATATTGCAGATTGTTAATGAGTCTTCCTCCAATCCTGATGCCACGATCTTCTTCATATAGTCCAGTTTCTCAGATTATTTGCTCAGCACACAGACTGAAAAAGTATGGTGAAAGGATACAACCACCGCACACACCTTTTCCGATTTTAAACCACAGTATCCACTTTTTCTGTTTGAACGACTGCCTCTTGGTCTACGTACAGGTTCCACATAAGCACAATTAAGTGTTCTGGAATTCCCATTCTTCGCAATGTTATCCATCATTTGCTATGACCCACAGAGTCGAATGCCTTTGCACAGAATGCATGTGAAAGCTGGACAATGGAAAAGGAAGACTAAAGGAGAACTGATGCATTTGAATTACAACATTGGCAAAGAATACTGAATAGACCATGGGCTTCCAGAGGAACAAACAAATCTGCTCGGAGGTACAACCAGAATGCTCCTTAGAAGCAAGGATGGTGAGACGCTGTCTTGATTACTTTGGACGTGTTATCAGGAGGGACCAATCCCTGGAGAAGGACAACATGCTTGGTAAAGTAGAGGGTCAGCGAAAGAGGAAGACCCGCAATAAGATGGACTAACACAGTGGCTGCAGCAACGGGTTCAAACATACCTACTATTGTGAGGACAGCACAGGACCAGGCAGTGTTTCGTTCTGTTATACGCAGGGTTGCTATGAGTCGGAACCGACTCGATGCCACCTAACAACAACATCATATATTTATATAACAATATATATTAAATAGTATATTAATTACAAAAATATTATATTATTTATATGTTTCTTTATTATATACTAAATATATATATTCCTGTCCCCTTTTTATACACAATTTGCAGCATACCATATGTAAATTTTGGGTGAATAATCAGGAAACTGACAGCAGTGATTGCCTCTTGAGAAAGTTGGTGGCTGGGGGAGAGAAGTGAGTGGCAGACTTTTCTCTGTATACCCTTTAGTACCATTTGAATGTTGTACCATGCGATAAAGTCCATCAGTTAAAGACCACCAGGAACACTCCTGTAGTCAAACAACGTTAGGTTTTTCAGCTTACTGCTTCAAGGAAGAGTGCACACCACGGGTGTATCAGTAAGAGGGAATACAGAGAAATGATTAAGAGCGTTTGGGCTTCTGCTGAATTATTCTAAGAGGTCTAAGGGAAGCAAACATCAGCTCTGGATTGGGTTTCTCGGCAATCTTTGTTCAGGAGGTGAGAGGAAGAAAGCAGGGCCAGGGAAGTAATGGTAAGAAAGCAGTAATGACAGGAAAGAAAAGGGTTATCAGTCATTTTAGGAGTCCCTGGGCGGCCCAAATGGTTAAGTGCTGAACTGCTAACCAAAAGGCTGGCAGTTCGAACCCACTCAGAAGTGCCTCAAACCCACCCAAAGGCACCTCAGAAGAAAGGCCTGGCAATCTGCTTCCAAAAGGTTCAAAGCCTTGAAAAAACCCTACGGAGTTCTATTCTGCAACACGTGGGGTCACCATGAGTCAGACTGATTTCACAGTTATCTGGGTTTGTTTTGTTTTATTTTGCTTAGAACTTTTGCAGCTGTGGTGTGGCCTTGGAAGAAACATGGTTTTCTGACGGCCTTGCCACCGGCCCTGGGTCTATTAGGTACATCGTAGACGGATTATGAACTGTGCTGATTTTTGCTTCCTCAGTCCTAAACTGACTTTTACCTTCTCACATGTGAATGTGTTACCTATCCAAAATTAAACAGATTTTAAAGCAAATAAGACAAAAATAAACCTTCTCAAAAAAAAAAAAAAAAAATTTATGAAGAAATCAGCCAGCTGCTTGTCAACCTCCTAAACCCAGATCACCAGTTCCCTCAACAATTACGAGGTTTATCCGGCAAACAGAAAAAGTCTAATTTTGTTTTTTTTTTCTTCTGAGCAGACTTGCTCCTTCCAAAGAGCAAATGTGAAGAAACAGCCATACTCAGGGATGAGGGAAAGCACCCCAAGCGGCAGTCGCTGCCTGGAAGATCAGAGTATGGCGCAGCCCCAGCGTCGCGTCCCGAGCCCCTGAAAGGGCTTGGAGTACTAGGCTCTTGCATTTTTTTCTTTCCATTTTTGTCACCCTTTCCCGGGAGGCTAACGCTAGGACTGCACAGGACAAAGCCATACATTGCCCTTGATGGTCTTTAACAGGGATCTGCAGTAGGGCGGGCAATGTTCAAGACCAACGGAAACCTTGGGCAAGTCACTTCCCTTCTCTATTATTAGGGAAAATGAAAGGACCGGAGCCGATTATCTCTGAAATCTTGACTCTAGCCCCCACGATCAACAACGGCAGCCCCCACCCCATGCCCTAAAGTTACGCTCCTGGTAAAGCACCCTAAACCGTACGAATGGTGTAGTGTCAGTTTTTTTTTTTTTTTTTAGCTGTTGTGCTTTAAGTGAAAGTTTACAATTCAAGTTATATTTTAAAATTGCCCAGTCCTGCTCTCTCGCCCTTTCCGCCAGAGGCAGCCCTTAGTTAACAGTTCGTCTATTTTTCCAGATATTTTCTTTGCAGAGACAGTATCTCCTTCAACCACTCACAAACGAGGCATTCTATATATTCTAATCTGCAACGTGCCTTTTTATCTGTTCGTCTAGGTCTCGGGGAATCTCGACGTTCTTAAAACGCTCTCTGGACCTATTTCTCGCGAAGCCGGGGTCTCACTTGCAGACGCCTCAGATCCTTGCCTCTGTCAGAACTGTCATTCTTACTTTCGTGACGTCCTCGGCCTCCGCGGCTGCCACAGCAACGCACCCGTCACCATTTTCACTGTGAGGGCTGCTCCTTTCAACGCACCGAAGCCACGTGACCGACGGCCTTCCAGTCCTGAGCGGGAGGAGCCGGGACAGTCCTTCCGCCTCGCCCGCCGACGGCGTCAGGCTCCTTCGCTCCAGTTTGAGGCTCCAGTTCCGGCCAGAGGCGGGCGCGCAGTGATGACGACAGCAGGCCGGCAGCGACTGCGGCGGGGAAACGCGAAGGGCTTCCGGAGCTGACTGCCTGACCGCTGAGAGCTGCTGTCATGGCGGCTGCTCTGTGGGGCTTCCTTTCCGTCCTGCTGCTGCTGCTCTCAGGGGATGTCCAGAGCTCAGAGGCGCCCGGAGCTGCTGCCGAGGGGTCGGGGGGAAGCGGGGTCGGTGTAGGAGACCGCTTCAAGATTGAGGGGCGTGCAGTTGTTCCAGGGGTGAAGCCGCAGGACTGGATCTCGGCGGCCCGAGTGCTGGTAGATGGAGAAGAGCACGTCGGCTTCCTTAAGTGAGCATCCTGAGGGCAGCGGGAAGGCGGTTGGGATGGCGGCTGGAGGGCGATTCCCCCAGGAGAGCTAAGTGTCAGGACGGGACGACGTCGCTGTCGCCGGGCGGAGGGGCGGGCGCCGCTAGCGGTCCGGGCGCGGAGACCTTGGAGGCAGTGGGACGCCTTGCCCTCGCGACCCGGACCTCAGGATGAGAGTGGCAGGTGCTCGCCGCGGGGCCAGAGCAGTGGGGTTATTTTCACCCCCGCTTGGGCCCTTTATGGGAATGACCGCTCCTGAGCCTGGAGACAGGTGGACCCGTTATTTGTCTCTTGCCGGCTCTTTGCCTTTGCATTTCGTCTGATTTCTCAGGAACCTGACCTATTGTTGCAGTCAATTTAGTCTTTTGGTAGCTGGTGTTGCGTCGAGAGATGCTAAACAAGTGGGAATTCTCAAAGCCCAAAGGGCTCCTAGTGATGACATAGACTGGGAAGCTAATGTTGCTTCTAGGATTAATGGGCCCTGAAGTCCCTAATCAAAGCGCCTTTTTTTAACTTGGGGTGGGATTGTTGTTCTTTTTTACACCTGAATTCACTGAGGGATTTACAACATCACACTTGGCGTTTATGTGAGACTAGGGTTTCTCTACACGGGTTCTGTCCTTTTCAGCTGTTAGTAGAAATGGGATTTCAGCCTATGTAAAAAGACTTACGTTTTGCAGCAGTCTGCTTCTCGAACGTCTAGGCACAAATATGATGTTTTAAATCTTTTCTATTGTTGCTTGAAAGTGATACTTCGAGCTGAAAGAGAATGTTTAGGAGAGGAAGTATTTCTTTGGTGGGCCTGTCCACCAGCAAGGGGTATCTGAAAACCAGACAACTTAAGTGTGGACATTTGATTCTAAATCTGATTTCCAAATTTGTTGAGGCCATCCAGGTGCCCTTGAATGAGAATTTCAGCTATGATTGACAAATAAACTTTGCAACTGTTATTTTAATGGTGTTTGTTATTAATGATCTGGCATTAGTGCATTCTTTAGGGTTCACCCTAATTCATGATGCTTTAATAATAAAGCTCTCATTAAACATTAAAAATGTTTTTATATAATTGTTCTTTCAAGTGAAGATCCAGCACGGGCTACACATTGTAGAATACATTTTTAAAGCCAAGTTTTTAGATTTTCGTTACGAAATTTATATGTTATCTTCCTGTAGTAAAATATTTACTTCAGAATGGAAACTATATTTGCTTTTACTTTAGGCTGTTATTTCTGATATTTTATTGTATAATCATAAGTTTAATTATTTTTTTTCTGGACGTAGAAAAATGTTTTGAAATTGCTTCAGTCAGAGTCCCAGCAGAAGCAGATGGCACCCTTGAATTAGAAAAATTCAGAAGAGTTTATTGAAAAGGTTAAACAATGTAGTCAGAATGTGGGAAAGCAACCAGATTGTGCATTCCCCTGGAGTTTACACCTTCAGGGCTATTATCACCTCTAAGCTCTGGTGGCGCAGTAGTTAAGAGCTCGGCTGCTAACCAAAAGGCAGGCAGTTCGAATCCACCAGCCGCTCCTTGGAAGCCCTGCGGGGCAGTTCTGCTCTGTCCTGTAGGGTCACTGTGAGTTGGAATTGACTTGACGGCAACGGGTTTGCTTTTTTTTTGGTTTAAGCTTGTATAAACCTAGGAATAAGTGAACTTGATGTTTGCATTTCAGTTCTGTTTTAGTTTAATGTGCTGTGAAGTAGTATGGAACACCTTTTCTGCTGTTTAGTAAATACTTTGCATGTGGTCAGTATCATCTATACCTCTAACTGAAAGATCCTAGTGATTAAAGAAGCATTATTTTAACATATGATACTGAGGATTTTCTGATAAAATTGAGCTTTTGAGAACAGAAACTTCTTTTTTCCTTAGAATAGCAGTTTGTCATTTTCAAAACAAATTAATTTTGATCTTTGACTTTTTTAAATAAAGGGAAAAATTAAAAACCTAGAAGAAAATGAGCTCTTGATGAGATAGTCTTCTAACTTTAAAAGGTTAAGAAGAAATCAGAAAGGAAAAAGCAAATGGTTTTAACTACATAAACATTTTAAACTTCTACATACACAAAGACATAACCAAAGTAGATGGGAACTATTTGTAGCAAGTGGAACAAAGACTTGAGTACCTTTTTTTTTTTTTTTTTGTATTATGTGTTTAAAGAGAAAAAGAGAGAAAGAAAGAAAAACAACAAAATGCTATTTTTAGTAGTAAGAAATTATTGAGGGATTGGTAAATTGGAACCCTAACGATTAGTTGGAATTGACTCGACAACGACTGGGTTTTTTTTTTTAATATTGTAGTAATAATGTGTATCGATAGCTTCCCTTCAAAGGAAATGAGGACATGGCTTCAGAATAGGAACCATGCTCCTGTCACCTGTCATCTCTGTCCCACAGGAGATCCAGAAATACTTTCTGTGTCAGGGTTCTCTGCTACTCTGGAGTGGAAGTCGTTACAGAACCCACTCAGTGTAATTATGGAAGATAAAGTGTGGGACAACTCTCGCCATGTGCTTTTAATGTCGTTTTTATTGGCGTTAACTTGGGCATTAACAGATGTGTGATTTAAAACATAAGTAAAGAGTAAGCTGTTGATCAGTAGTGGCTAAATGTGGTTTTCATTTTTCCAGGACAGATGGGAGTTTTGTGGTTCATGATATACCTTCTGGATCTTATGTAGTGGAAGTTATATCTCCAGCTTACAGGTTTGATCCTGTTCGAGTGGATATCACTTCAAAAGGAAAAATGAGGTGAGGGTGCTTGATTTAACCCTTTTATTCGTCTTGGGACAGAATGCACCCACAAACATTTTCAGGTTCACGGGTTTCTCAGAAGGCTGCTTGTCCCACTAAAAGTACCTGCCACCCTCCAGTGGGGCCTGTGTAATGGTGAAAAATGAAAGAAATGGTCTTTGGTGAAAATTCGCTAAGTTAAAAGGTTTACGTATGAGGCAGTGCATCCAGGAAGTATGATTGGGTCAAACTTTTGTCTCTTTTGGCTTTTGGATAGCTACATAATCCTTGTAAGCATGTTTATGGCTTCCTGTGCGATAGCTAGGGAGTCCTGCTGGATTTGGCTCTCTCTCTCCGTGTGTGTGTGCGTGTGCATGCGTGCGTGCATGAGTGAGTGAGTGATATTTGGAAGACCAGTGTAACAAAATGGAAGGTGTCACCCTCCAAATGTCCTTGGGACAGGGGACCTCACACCACCAAGAAAGCAGTGCCAGGAGAAGAGCGCATCCTTTGGACGCAGGGTCCCTGCATGGAGAAGCTCCTAGTCCGGGGGAAGATTGATGAGAAGGCTGACAGAGAGAAAGCCTTCCCCTGGAGTTGATGCCCTGAATTGGACTTTTAGCATACTTTAATAAAAGTGTCGATGGAGAACACTGAAAACTCAGTGGATTCAAAATCCATTAAAAATCTGGAAACAAAGATCTTCCATGGAAGCAAATCAGTGGACTCCGAAATATCCTTGGACAGTTGTTATAAAATGGATTATCCTGAGATGGGCTTATGTATAATAATAATAAAAACTTTCATCCAAGCACTGGAATGGCATCTCGGTCTGGTACAGATGTAGGTGCAGCAAGCCTCAGGGAAACATTCAGGAACTTGAAATACAAAGTCAGGAATAAAAATGATCTCACACGTGAAGAAATTTTGGAATTGATGTGCAATGTGTCTGAAGAAGATCATGGCAAAACGAATAGGTTTATTTATGTGCTTCTAAGCCATGGTGATGAAGGAGTCATTTTTGGAACAGATGGACCTGTCGACCTAAAAAAATTAACAGTTTTCTTTAGAGGAGTTAATTGTAGAAGTCTAACTGGAAAGTCTGAACTTTTCATTATTCAGGACTGCAGAGGTACAGACTTGGACTGTGGCATTGAGGCAGACAGTGGTTTGATGAAGACATGACATGTCAGAAAATACCGGTTGAGGCAGACTTCTTATACGCGTATTCTACAGCACCTGGTTACTATTCCTGGTGAAATTCCAAGGATGGCTCCTGGTTTATCCATTCACTCTGTGCTGTGCTGAAACAGTATACTCACAAACTTGAGCTCATGCACATCCTCACTCGGGTTAACCGGAAGGTTGCAACAGAATTTGAGTCCCTGACTCTACTTTTCATGCAGAGAAGCAGATTCCATGCATTGTGTCCATGCTTACAAAGGAACTGTATTTTAATCACTGAAGAAATGGTTGGTTATTTTTTAGATTGTAAGCCAAGTGAGAAAATGGTATAACTCATACTGTTTTCTTCTCTTATTTAAGTCTAATACGTCAGATGGTTTTTTGAAACATACCATTTTCATAGCAATAGAACCCCCGTGAAGCTACCTCAAACTCAAAATCAGGTAGTTGAAATCAAATTTAATTAGGAATAAATTAAAATGGATAATGTTATAATTGTTATGAGAGGAAATGGTTGTAAATTTACATAATTAGCAAGTTTAAGTGATACTATACTATGAATTTTCAAGTTAATTATGAAAAAGTTACACATTGGAGTAATGAATTCTAATAGTACGCCCCCACTTAAGACTATGGGTTTTAGTTTTTCTCAAACTATAGAAATGATGATGTGTAATAATATATCCCAGAACTTGAGGATCCACTGGCATGATCAAAGGTTTGAAGACCTTTACTTTTTTTTTTCTTAATAATATTTTTTTGTGTTTTAGGTGAAAGTTTACACAGCAAATTAGGTTCCCCTTAAACAATTTTTATGCAGATTATTCCGGGCTGTTGGGTACCATTTTTACAATGTGTCAGCATTCTCGTTATTTCCATTCTGTTTGTTCTGTTTCCATTGATCTAGCTTCCCTTCCCTTCCTTGACTTCTCATCTTTGCTTTTGGGTAGCTGTTCATCGTTTGGTCTCATAGAGTTGATTGTTTAAGGGAGCACAGTACTCACGGGTGATATTGTTTATTTTATAAGCAGCAAATCTATTTGTCTGTGAAGATCTTTACTTTTAAAACTGGTTAATTGCAGTTCTAGAACATTTACCTGACCTGAGCTCATGGTTTTGTAATGTTTTGTCCTGAGCATGTCTTTGTGGTTAAAAAAAAAAAAAAATCTTATTTAATATTGGAAAAGAAACTAGAAATTTTATTTGAGAGTGTGAGCACACTGAGTGACTCTTTTAAAGCCAAATGCAATGTTAAATGGAGGGACAGAATCACAACCATTGGGTGCTGAGACGCAGCTGATCTATCAGCATAAGTGTCCTGTCATTTGTCCCTATGCAAATTAATTGTTTCACATACCAGCAAAATACCTGAGAAGCTGTTATGTAAAAACCTCAAACTTCATGCTTCATTATTAGCAGCCTGAACTGAAGAAATTCTGGAGAAACATGCCAAAGTACAACTTGTATGATAAACAGTGGAATGTAAGGAAAGAGCGGTAAATAAGTTAGCTGGACTCTTGGTAATGAGAGTGAAGGTGGTTTGATCCTGAGCAGACACTGCGTAGCCTTTGTGAAGAAGGCAGAGCCATAGACTACGGCTTCAGAAAAGGACTGCCAGCTTATACAGGTGTACGCAGGGGATGGCTTCCAAGGCAGGAATCTCTAAGTAAGTCAACCAAATCAGAAGCTTCTAAAATAGAAATTTTCCAAAGGTGGTCAGAATCACAGTAAAAATCATAGTACTCTTTGTAGTAAAATTTTTAGCACACTACATTATTTTCTGTGGAAGTTTACAATCCAAAGAAAACAGTGGTAACGTCTTACACCGTCCTCTGAAACGAAAGGAGCACGGCCACAGGACTTTAGAAATCATCCACTCTGAGCCTCTCCTTTGGTGCAGGAGGAAGCTGAAGGCCAGAGAGGAACTGCGCAGCACACAGCCTCCCTCCCACGGACGTGCTGAGCCATCCCTGCATCGTCCTGTGTGTGACTTTCAGTCTGACGTTTCTAGTTAGCTTTCCTTTTGCTTGAAGAAATAAACTCACATTAACAAATGACAGCTATTCATTTTTACTAGGTCTGTATTTTTCTAAGTAAGTGTAGAATGTAGTGATATCTTAAGGTGGTTGCTGTGTGACAATTTTGTAAAAAAGATCCTTGGGACAGACAGAGCCCACTAAACACTGTGCCAGACTACCACCAATGTTTTGTGGGAAAATGTATGCCCACATGAAATTTTCAAAATCCATATTACCAACTACAAATTTGAACACACTCAGTTGGTAAGCTTGCATTCCACTATTGAAAACACATGCCGTCTTCAAAAAATTAAAAACATGAAAACATTAACCTTTTAAGGTTAATTTTCACCAAAGGCCAGGCTCCTGAATACTTCATTATATATTCCTTTTATAATTTATAGTTAAGATAGAAAAGTTTCTTATTTAAACTACTGATATTCCTTAAAAAATATAAAATATTCTCCTATTGTTTTAATCTGAACGTGGATAAAGTTGAGTGTCGTCCTCCTCTGGCTTAAATTGTATTTTAAAACTTTATTATGATTAAATAGAGAAAAGATAAGATTACCTACCATGGGAGCAAAAACACTCTGAAAGTTATAACTGAAACGGTATTAAATGCTTTATCTGTAGCATCATTCCCCACCTCCCACCACCCCCCTACCCCCCGCCGTACTAATTGGTTTCTTTTATTTAATATTGATGGAGCAACTCTTATGGCCAAGAGCTATGTTAGACCCTGAGGACATAATAGTAGGCTCGACTTAGATGGTTCTTTCCCAGAGATGCCCATGGTAAAGCAGTGACAGTGGCATGTAGAAGTGCTCCAACAGAGGAAGTATAGGTGTTGTAAGTATATAACTTGGACTTCCCATTTTCATAGCCCTTTTTATTAAAGTTGAAAATTAGCTTTTCTAATTGGAAATACTATTCATCATCTGTTTTTCACTGGGATATTTTGATAATACCCTTTAGTACCTATTTGATACTACTCTGAACTAGAAATTTCTATAGTTTCCTCCTCCTTTAATGTACAACGGAAATACAGGATTTCTGGGGAAAACGGTAGATTCCATTGTAGAGTTTATCTCAAAGTTAGGATCTTGAGAAGAAGAAGAAAAGCACGGTATTAAAGGCTGGCAGAATGGGAAAAAAATTTAGAATTTCTAGGTAGATTAACATGTGGTTTGAAATTGAGGTGAAAAGAATTTTGGGCTATTCAGAGTGTGAGCATGGAATAGCACAAATCCGTCTGAAGCTGGAATCAGTTCTGTAGATGTCTGGATTCTTCAGATTCAGCCTTCAATTATAACCCCCAATTTGTTTATTTGGTTTTTTGTTGTTGTCTCATGCAGTAGCACTGCCTTTGGTCTAATCTGACCAGAAAGTATGTGAAACAATTTTAAGTGGTAACGTCTCTTCTTTGTTTGAGCTATCACATGAAACTTGAAGGCAGTACCTTCCATATTTTTTGATGGAATAAATGAATTGTTTCAAAATAGTTGAACCTCCTTAGGTATCAACTTTCTCATGTCTTTTTAGAGGCACAGAGCTTTAAAAATGAACAAACTATATAAATGGACATGAAAAATCTTTTTGGGATAATGGAAATGTTCTAAAAATGGATGTTATAACTTGGTAAATTTACTAAAAATTATTGAATTGTGCAGTTAAAAAAAACAGTAGTTTCACTTAACTAATAAATCTCTGCCTTGAGCACTATTCTCTTTTAAGAACTATCTGTATGGGATCAAATTGACAACAGCAACTCGAAAGATCAGATAGGAATCTTAGAGGGTGGTAAATTTATGTTAATGGGGAGGAACAACTCAGAAAAGGAGGGTGAGCATGGTTGCACAACTTGAAGAATGTAGTCAGTGTCACCAAATTGTACATGTTGAAAGTGTTGAAATGGTGTATGTTTTGCTGTGTATATTAGCAAAAAAGATGGAAACATCTTTGGTGCCCATCAGTGGATGAACGGATAAGTAAAATGTGGTACATTTAAAAGTAAAAAAAGTATAGGTCTATATATACACACACGTGTATGTATATTATTTTATTAAATCTAAACCCTCCAGAACTTATTGTGACTTTTATACATTTTAGCATTGCAAGCTTAGAGATAGCTGCTCGCACGTTTTTAAGACCCCCAGCTCGGGGTAGAACATAAATTTTATGAACTATAGTATGCCAGTTGACTGAGATGTCCCATGGGGTTAGACCATAGATACTTGAAAAAAGAGTAAAATAGAACTTCTGCAGTAAATATAGGCATTGAAATATAAAACTCCGATGTGTTAACCAAGATTGAAGAGAGAATTGATGAACTGGAAGATAGATCAGGAAAAATTGCCCAGAATACAGCGCAGATAAAGAATGGATGGTGTGAATCAGAGTTTAAGAGGTGGGGAGTGAAGGATGATCAGGTCTAACCTGTATCTTATGTAAATTCTAGAAGGAAATAGTAGAGAAGGTATGGGAGGCAATTTTCAAAAAGTAATGTGTGAACATGGCTGAGGGTTTTGATAGAATTAAATCTGATTACAATTAAAATTAGTTGCATCTCTGGAGAGAATGTAGTGTTACTTATGGCACTATCGCAAGGCTTTCTCGAGGCATAAATTCTTCCTGCTGTATAGCCTTGAAGATCGGGTGCACCCAATAATGCATATCTCAGACAATCAAAAAATAAAATTCAGCGTTTTTGTATGTTTATAATAAAGTGAGGACTTTGCATAAAAGGATTCTAAGAGAACTTTTGATATAACCAGAGAAGTTGAGGAATTTGCCTAATCCCACAGGCCTAGGTAATGACACAGCTACAGCTGGAAACTAGGTCTCTTGATTTCAGGTTTAATGTTCTTTCTCTGCATCTCGCTGAGTATTTTAGACATGCAAATAAAGTTAGTTTGCTTGGATTTTTTAGATAAAGAGTTTAGATGCTCTATCACCTGAGGTCGAGGTAATAAATAGAAGGCATTGCTAATATAAGCAGTTCTTTTAATTAGTAATGTTTTTAATAAAATGACTGATGCTTTTCCCATGTTTCTTTATCAGAGCGAGATATGTGAATTACATCAAAACATCAGAAGTGGTCAGACTGCCCTATCCTCTCCAAATGAAATCTTCAGGTCCACCTTCTTACTTTATTAAGAGGGAAACGTGGGGCTGGACAGACTTTCTGATGAACCCAATGGTATGTATCAGGCTAAAATGAAACATCTCTACTAATCCCTGACTGCTTCTAGGCAGTTGAAAATTTCCAATCCCTGTGAGATAGAAAGCTGAGGTCAGATTGTTGGTGAAAGGTTAATTGTGAACAGATTCTAGGAAGATAGTGGCTTTGGGAATACACAATGAAAAGACTATATTGAAAATTGCACTGCACATTTGATATTGAAATGTGCAATAGAAGTCGAATAGATACTTGTAAGGTCTAATGAACTGTTTTAAAATTCAGATAGGAGTGTAGAGTGAGTCACACATGGAGCTGTCTCTTCCTTTATGTCAGCTACGTATTAGTCTGTTAATAAATGTGCCATCATTTATTTAACCAGCCCCTGCTAACGGCACAAGTCAAGTTCTCTTGCTCCTTTTTTAGCATGTACGGTGAACACAAGTTACTCTGTGGTAATTTAAGAATCTGGTGTTATCATGAAACTAATGTTATGGTGCCCGCTAATGATAAAACACTAATAAAATATATTTTTTAGAAACAAATTGGCCTTTTTTTCTTTTCTCTCCTTTTTTTTTTTTTTTCCTTGATTATTTTTTAAAGGTGAGTTATTGTCTTGGAATTGTCTAAGTTTTTATTATATTCCTTGCCAGTAGTTATTTAGATCATAAACAAGAATTCTCGGGTGACTGTACATCCTCTAAAACCCGTTGCTATTGAGTCGATTTCGACTTATAGCAACCCTATAGGACAGAGTAGAACTGTCCTATAGGGTTTCCAAGGAGTATCTGGTGAATTTGAACTGCTGACCTCTTGGTTAGCAGCTGAGTTCTTAACCACTGCGCTGCCAGGGCTCCACATGTCCTCTAGAGAGGAATCAATTAGTACTCAGCATCTTCTCTCAGGGATAAAGAAGCAGGAAAGTAGATCAGATGAGAGAAATCAGCAATGAGATGCCAAAGCTTATTGCGAAATATCTTCCACATTCTCATTTCCAAAATTCCATAGAAGTGTATTCAGTGCTAAAGTCTTCTAGGTAATTTCTGATCTGCTCAGAAAGTGCCACATAAACCAGAGACTGCATCAGCCTGAGACCAGAAGAACTAGATGGTGCCCGGCTACCACCAATGACCGCCCTGACAGGGAACACAACAGAGAGTCCCTGATGGAGCAGGAGAACGGTGGGGTGCAGAACTCAAATTCTAGTAAAAAGACCAGCCTTAATGGTCTGACTGAGACTGGAGGAATCCCAGAAAGCAAGCCCCCAGACTCTTTGTTAGCCCAGAACTTAAACCATTCCCGAGGCCAACTCTTCAGACAAAGATTAGACTGGACTATGGGACATAAAATGATACTCATGAAGAATGTGCTTCTTAGTTCAAGTAGATACATGAGACTAAATGGGCAGCTCCAGTCCGGAGGTAAGATGAGAAGGCGGAGAGGGTTAGGAGCTGGTTGAATGGATGCAGGAAATCCAGGGTGGAAAGGAGGAGTGTGCTGTCACAGTATAGGAAGAGCAATTGGGGTCACAACATTGTATGTATAAATTTTTGTATGAGAGACTAACTTGAATTGTAAATTTTCACTTAAATCACAAGAAAAAAAAGAAATGTGATCTGCTGAAGTTGTTGCCTGTTACCATACTGCAGGCTCTAGGGGATGTGCGTTAGCGAGAGCGGGGCTAATTCTAGTGTGGTTCTTAGAATATCTGGGTAAGAATCCTCCCTCTCCCACTTTCTCTGTGACTTCGGCACAGTCTCGCTGTACCTCAGTTTCCTCATCTATAAAGCAGGGTGTATTATGTATCTCGTAAGATTGTTGAGAGCACTGAATGAGCTAACGCCTGGTATACAAAGTGCTATGTAAATGTTAGCCGTCATCATCATTACACATCCACTAGCATAAATACGATGATAGAAATGTACATCCTTGTGTCTATACATAGTAGGAAGGTAAAGATGGGAAGAATGCGGAGGATGAAAAGTTGACCTCTGACCGTGGTTATGGGAGCAGAAAGAAAACACAGTATGTGCCGCCCAGAGCTCTGGAAGTTTCTGCTACACGGTGTCCAGGAGCTGGAAGTGCTGCTGATGTGCAGTGAATCTTACTGTGCTAGGATCCCTCACAGTGTTTTCTCCAAGAACCACTAAGTCATCTGGAAAGAGCAGCCCAGCTGGCCATCAGGATCACCCATCCCAGTGCCAGACTAGACTGAAGAAAGTGAATAGACAGCTCTGTGTGCGGGCGGTTTGTGTTAAATAAAACTGCCAGCTCTGCCGAATGATCCGTGGTGCTCACGTGAAGTGTGGCGTCTACAAAGTCCCAACACGCATGGATAGGGCTCTGACACTCTAGGACAGTCAGATGTTGAGCACCTTGCTGTCGGCAGAGCTGACTGAGTAGAATTGGGTAGGTTGCTGCTAGTTTTATTCTGTACACAACATTTGAATCTTTAACTTCATCGTTGGTTATTAAGTGGTTTTTTTTCTGCTGTTAAACGGGAATATTTTTTTCTGAGTTTATTTTTCTTTCACAGGTTATGATGATGGTTCTTCCATTGTTGATATTTGTGCTTTTGCCCAAAGTGGTCAACACAAGTGATCCTGACATGAGACGGGTAAGGTGACTTTGCAGCTGTTGAGTTTTGAACTGTATCCTGATACCTGGGTTTAGATTATGACTACGTGTCTAGAGTTTTTTCAACTTAATCCTAATTCCCAAGGCAAAATGATCTAGAGATTGTGTTCATCCATTATTGTGTTCTTGGCATTTAATTAGTTTGTTTCCATTGGACCAAATAAATTCAGTTGGTTCTGTCTAATAAAGGCCTGGGTCTCTTCAGATAGCTAAAAGATTTTCCCTGGTCCTAGTCTCTCTGTGTGTCACCTGTTAAATAGTTGAAATGCTCAACAATCTTGGTGTATCTGGTCTGAATATTTTGTAAAATGATAGATCCTATAATCTGTCTTTACTTAACAAAACTCTCTTTGGAGTACACGTTCAGTTTTATGTGTTCGGACACAGAAAAGAAGTTCAGATAGAGCGAGGAGGGAAACAGCATAGTGGTTTTACAGGAGAGAGGAGCGGCTGAGCAAGGTGCTTCCAGTTCAGTGCCACCACTTTGTCCCTTGTAAATACTGGCTTCCATGCAAGAGTCTTTAGGGTTTTTCAAAACCACTGTTCGTTCTTTCATCCAACAACCATCAACAGTTATCTTCTGAGTTCCAAGTTCCTCCATTGTATTTAGTGTATTGATGTGTTTACAGCTTGTTCCACACTCAGTCAACATTTATTAATCAATTCCTAGGTTCTGGATTCTGGGTATACAAAAATGAATTATATGGCATCCCTGTCAACAAGCTCGTAGTCCAGTTAAATGTAGGAAATGGAATGGATTCATAAAACACACAGTTTACCACCAGGCGATTTTTTTTTTTTTAATGGGAAAAGAAGATATATATAAATAAATAATCACAGAAAACAGTAAATGTTTGTTAAGGGAGTAGGTGATGAAGCTCTGTAGAAGGTAAGGTATCTTTTCCAAGCTGGAATAACAAAGAAAGCTTCATGGAAAAAGAAAACTTTATGATGTTTTATTGCTAAATGTTGGCATCTTTGCTTCACTGTTGGTCAGAAAGTAATATATCCTGTGCAGTCCTTGTATCTGTTAAATCACTCAACTCTGATATCAGTAGAAGGAAACATCAGAAGTTACATTGGATTAAAAGTACATTCTTTACAAAGTGCTTAGACATAGTAAGTTCTATAAAAAGTTGTTGATTCAAGCGCTTCAGAATGGAACAGATTCAGAAATAGACTTGTTGATACATTTCTGCAGAGGCTCAAGACTCATTACCATATGCGTTTAACTCGACTATTAGGGCATATTAACATGATTTGTGTTTATAGTGTCTCTTTTCCTGCCTTATCTGTAAAAACACCTTCTCCTTGAAAGCCTGCGTATAAATTACCTTTGGGGAGAAAGCCAAGCTCATACTCTAGTAGTGTTCAATTTAAATGACAGCTAATATAATATTTGTTATTTTATTTTGTGTCTGAACTGATACGAATTTTAAGTTCACTTTTGAAAATGTCACATAAAGTTCAAATGAAGCAGACACATTAATATAGTGGAAGCAGAACAGCACGTTATAGGTTGTTGATTCAATGGAGAGTCAGGCACAGACTCAAAATAAAAGTGCCAGATCCTTATCCTGTCCTACCCGTGACTTGTTTATGTTGCTTACCTTAGATGATGTATTTGAGGTCACCCAAGACATACTATACTTACAGACTTACTACTGGACTCTGTGGAGTTAGGGTACAACTCTTGGAAAAACTACAGTTGTCTTCCAAACTTCTCTGATACCTTGATACACAGTAATTAAAGATTCGTGTCCTGGTTATACGCATCTAAAGAAAACATGAGCTTAAAAAAAGCTAGTTAAAACAATTAAAAAGCACTGTAATCAGCAAGCATAAAATACGGTGTCAGGAATATGATCAGACATATCCATGATCAGAGAAAATACTCTTTATAAAACCATAAGCTGAGTCAATGAATGAAAAAAAAAATCTGAAATCATCCCTCCTAATATATCCTGATATAACTGAAACTAACTGTAATAATAAAAATTAAAACTACATCAGGAACATGTGGTTCCACCTCAAATATTAGGAAATGTTAAATACAGGGGCAGGGCTCAGAATTTTGAAAGGTCGGTCAAGCATTTATTGAACATTACTACGGATCAAAATGCTTAGTGATACAAAACCAAAAAACCAAACCCATTGCCATCAAGTCGATTCTGACTCCTAGCGACCCTATAGGACAGAGTAGAACTGCCCCATAGGGTTTCCAAGGAGTCGCTGGTGGATTCAAACTGCTGACCTTTTGGTTAACAGCCAAGCTCTTAACCACTGTGCCACCAGGGCTCAAGGAGGTACAAGATATGGTTACTAATGATGTGCAGTGGAAGTGCTCTTTGGTATGACGTTACATCATCGCTCAGAACCAATACCTTTTACTTGTTCTACTCGCCTCCTTCTTCCGTCAATAGGGAGTATTAGAAGTTAAAATGACTTGAAGGACCCCAGTGCATTTCATATCATTCTGCTTTGTCTCCCTGCAGGAGATGGAGCAGTCAATGAATATGCTGAACTCCAACCATGAATTGCCTGATGTTTCTGAGTTCATGACAAGACTCTTCTCTTCAAAATCATCGGGCAAGTCTAGCAGCGGCAGCAGTAAAACAGGCAAAAGTGGAGCTGGCAAGAGGAGGTAGTAGGCAGTCCGGAGCTGGCATTTGCGGACACGCAACACTGGGTGGCAGCCAAGTCTTGAGGGAAAATTGTGTGAAGCAACTACTGTAAACTTGACTCAACCTGAACGTTGGTCTCCTGTTAACTGTTGTATGTCATAACTTTGAGCACATGTTTTGTACTTGATACACAAGAAAATCCAGCTTTCATCCTTTGTCTGAGGTCAATATTGATGTCACTGAATTAATTACAGTGTCCTATAGAAAAATGACATTAATAAATTATATGATGTACTATACATTATGTATATTAAAATAAGTCTTAATCCAAAGATAAAATTGTCATTTTTTTCTCTTAATGTTTCTTTTTTTTTCCCTTGCAGTTTTCTTCTATCTTTCATTATCTGAGGTTTGAAATTGACCTTTCCTGTTTAAAAAGAAATGGTTGGTATTCTTAGAGCGGCGTGCACCATGGTTTTTGTGTAGCCCGACCTTTCAAAATTCTGAGCCCTGTCCCTGCATTTAACATTTCCTAATATTTGAGGTGGAACCACATGTTCCTGATGTAGTTTTAATTTTTATTATTACAGCTAGTTTCATTTATATCCGGACGGATGATTTCAGATTTTTGTTTTTTCATTGTAGTCTTCAGGTATGGTGCTAATTTTACAAATAATTGAGTACCAGCTATGTGCTGAGTTCTGAGGTGGGATACAAAGATGGATGATATCCAGTGCCTGTCCTCAGTGGAGCTTATTATCTAGGGAGCACAGATAATAACAGGAAGTGAACAGCCAGGAGGAAGAGGAGCACAGATAATAACAGGAAGTGATTGGCCAGGAGGAAGAGGAGCATAGATAATAACAGGAAGTGAATGGCCAGGAGGAA